GAGACACAATGAGACATGCTGACAGAATGACTCCTAATCCACGAATGGAGAATATTATATCGGCCGAAAATAGACAGACAAATCAAATATTATGTAGATTTTAAACGGATGACATCTTTTTCCTATCAAGTCAACCATTTTCCTGTCATTTCTTACCATGATGAGTTGGGCAAACTCAACTATAACCTATAAAATTCTAGTTTGTGGCCATTTGGCTAAAACGTTATATTAAACTCATTTTGTATGCACGCCTCGCTATTGTTCCCAAAGACATTTTCCGTGCGTGCGTGCGTGCGTGCGTGCGTGCGTGCGTGCGTGCGTGCCCAGTTTATGTAAATTATCTGATGTGCTGCACCAATATATATTTGCCGAGACGTATGGTATAAAGTGTTGATGAATGAGCCAAAGGCCATTCAACTCAATAACTATCAATAAAAATCAGCAAAAATGAATAAATATTAATAAATATAAATGAAAAAAAGATATTATTATTTTAAAAAATCAATTAAAAAATCAATATAAATCAAAAAATAAAATAAATATCACTAAAAGGAAATTTAAAAAATCAATAAAAATCAATTTTAAAAATAGATATCAATAAAAATCAAGGTCGTAGTCCCTTTGTCGTACTTCTGACACAAATTCTATTTGGTACTATACACCTGTTGTTTTTTTCCTCTCTTTATCCTCGAGCGCTCTTTTATTTCGTGTTTTGTCCATTTCGTATTTCGTAAATTTTTTAATTCGTGTTTTTATATGAGATAATATGATATATTACGTAATGTCAATGATGATACATAACAAGATGGTCCACTCAGCCAAAAAAGTGTCCGCCAGAAGTCCTACAATGGATCAGATGGCGCTGCAGTCTTTGTTTTGAAGCTCTCTTTCGTTTCTCCAGAAGAAGAATAGGAATAGAACCTCCTTGCGTGAGCAGATCGAATTTTGTCCATCAGCTGTTTGGGATCGTTCAGTGCGGAGTTTAAGGGTTTTTTGTTTTTTTACTTGAATGAACTCTCGTCTCTCATTTTAAAGTCAAATTAAACACAGAAAACAGTCGAATCTTCCACAACAGGTTTTTTGTCAGCGTAAACTTTTTTAAAAGCGTTCTTTCGACATTTGAGTTCTAAATTATTCAAAAACTTGTCTGTTTCACTTGTATTGTTTTTAACACAAGCAGGGTAACTCTGTTTGCAAATTCCTCTCATTTTTTAAGAGGGCGCCTCCGAATTTTGAGGACACTTTTTAATTGGATCAAAGAGAGGAGTGGCCCATCTTGGTATGTATTATCTTTGATAATGTACAACATACACACACACACACACACACACCCAAGGGTAGGTATGCTTGTGGCATCGTGGTGAAATCAGGCGCTCGTCAAATTTGACATTCAGGTTTTTTTTTAAAACACTCTTTAAATGTTTCACAACTTGGTAGAATCAGGCGCTTGTCTATTTTGGGAAACTCGGAGTTATTTGGCATCCTCTTAAAGTAACCTATTTATTTGTCTTGCGTTTGATGAACTAGAAAACCATTTTATCTATATAGAAGTCAAGATATTCCAATTCTAATGCTCCTTTTGACATATCGACTGTGATTTAAATTCACAGAACCAGTGTCTATGGTGTAGTGGCCAGACTCTGCCCTGTGTCGCATGCAAGAAACCGAAGTTCGTTTCCCGAGTGAGAGGAACTTTTTTAATGAGTATCTAACTTAGTCTTTCTGCAGGGACATTGGATCTCACCAAAAAAAAAAGAAAATGAAATGGTATGGGTTATTAAACTATTAGGTTATTTAAGAGGCGGGGCCTCCTAGTTTACCGTCCATTTCCGAAAGGACAGAGCCAAGTGGGAAATACGTGTAAAGGGCTTTTCCCAAGGACACTATGTTGGACCAAGCTGTGGCTCGAACCCCCGAACCAGCAATCTCACTATTACGAGTCCGGTAGCCTAACCACTTTACCACCGACGCCTATCTCTCTTATCGTGAACTGGTCCTATCAGGAAGGATCGGAAGGACACTAACTAAATGACGTAAATTGTGTCAATGTGACCAAAAACCACATACATTAAAAAAGCCTTTAAAAAATAAAATGAACAATAAAAGAAAACAAAATAATTCGAGAACACATGAATTCAAGTAGGGCGTAACAAAAAGAACCTGGTATACAGTAATTCACAGAAACAACCACGTTGACAGTGACGATGAAGTACTGAAGACATAGTAGAAAGGGAAGCGCAAAACACATTATGTGGCAGTTTAGAACAGTATCTTAATAATATCTATTTGGTGAAACATGATTCATTTTTTTCGGACTGGCATTGACTATATCGTCGGTGTCGCTGACAATTCACTTTAGTCCAAGTGAATGTTTTTCACACAAGACACACATCAAAAACACTATAATATCTGGGGGGGGGGGGGGGGTTGTGATTCTTATTAGAAATCCTGGAAAGCAAGAAAGTTGCAAACCTCAACAATAGCATTAACCTGCATTTTGGTGACGTTGAAAAGTACATCTTTGATAGATCTTTGGGAGGGTGTAAAAATCGAAAGTTCTCAAAATGTATACAGAAATGCATTTGCTGGCGACAGCGACGATATATTTCATTTTTTAAAAAGCATGAAAGACTTTGCAAAATCATTGGGCTGTTAAATATTAATGAACTTGTTCTTTCAACTGAACTTTGCATGCATGCTGTAATGTAGTGGTAGGCACTTGGCCGTCACAAGCAGAAGACGTCAGTTTGAATCTCGTGTGATGATCATTTTAATCATATATCGTCATCTTTCTGCTGGGTTGTGGCATCCTCTAAGTCCGGTCCCAGAGTCTCTCTGTAGGTCTGACCTGTAGCTCGCCTAGCTCGCACCGTGCAAATGAACATTATACATTATTGTGTGACTGAGCAGCGTTGCTGAATGGTCTGTCTGTTGTTCGCTGAGCTGCACGGCGCGTCAGACGTGCTATTCAACAGTGTTGTAAAACATGTCGGACATGTGTCGCACGCAGGCTCGCTTTGTGTTTATTTTCGACTGAAATTCTTCACAGATCATCAAAATCAGCAAGAAGCAAGTATTGTTAGGTGCTTTACTATTAGATATTGATTCTAGCATCAACACTTGACCACAAAATCCCAAGAAATGCACTCTATCCTACATTAAAATTTGGAATCGAGAGGTTGACATAGTTTCGACTGTTTGATTACATTCATAGACCTGCGTGTTTCTACATGCGGATAACTTCAGAACGACAGATGTACGCCATTGGCCGATATTTATAATAACAACCATCTTGTTTGGCGTCGCTTTACTTCCCAACTCGAAGTCAGGTACTCATTAGAGGTGGGTGGGCGCGAGAAAAAAATTCGTGGACGAACCGAGGCTCGAACCTGGACTTTCTGCTTTGGAGACAAGCGCATTAACCACTCCGCCACCACGCCACTGTAGGATACAGGATTTTAAAATACTGCAATAGTGCTTTGCGGTCGTGTTGTTACCGTAAACGACAACAAAGTGGGAATCCCTCAATGACGTCAAACAAGATGGTTGTAACTATAAATATCGACCAATGGTGTACATCTGTCGTTCTAAAGTTATCCGTATGTTGTGCTTCTAGCCTAGTGTGGCTGTGCTGACACTCAGAGGGCGCTCACTCAGACACAGAAGCCAACGCACAGTGCGGCTGTGCTGACACGCAGAGGGCGCTCACTCAGACACAGAAGCCAACGCACAGTGCGGCTGTGCTGACACGCAGAGTGCGTTCACTCAGACACAGAAGCCAACACACAGTACGACTGTGCTGACACGCAGACGGCGTGCGCTTGGCGAGCTACACGTCAGACCTACAGAGCCACTCTGGGACGGGCCTAAGCCCGGGTTCACTTTAACAGACAAAATCGAAGAAGCCCGCCACCTAAATGATCCGAACTGTAACTATTTTTTATACTATTACCTTTTATTGTATTGCACAGAAGTTCAAAGATCGACAACGCTTGTGTATCCATCTTTCTGTCCGGACTTTTTTGAGAAATTGAATTAATCGTCTACTCTGGAGTTCTGTAGTAAAAGACAATATTATATTAATCAAATTGGTAAAAGAAAACGTTCTAGAGAGACAGAAATAACACATCGTTGCTTCCCAACAACCAGCTGCTTTGAATATTTTCAAAAACACTTTTTTTTCTTGCGTTATTTATTAAGATACAGCAGACACCTGACGAAGGCAAACATGAGGTGTGTGTGTGTGTGTGTGTGTGTGTGTGTGTGTGTGTGTGTGTGTGTGTGTATGTGTGTATGTGTGTGTGTGTGTGTGTCGAGAAAATTTAAACTATCAGTTGGAATCATCGAGACCTCAATTTCTTCCAAAACTGGATAATTCTGTCTTTTAAAATAACACCCCTGTATGAGTCCGTGTCATCCGTCGGTCACGTGACATACTTTTGAAATGTGGTATTTATCTCTACTGAAACTTCAGACCTCCTTTTTAGTCAAACCAGAAAATCTTAGGGCTAATAATATGTCTTGCTGATAACCGTAAACCAGCGTTCTGAAAGCAGAACTGCCACTACTGTAAACTATTAGTCTGTTCTTTCCATCCACGCAAACAACATGAGAGTAACCTATCAGGCAACAGTGGTATCATCAGGGCATTTGGGGAGCAATTCAGCCAAAAGCACTGCTATTCCTTAACCCTATCCGTACGCCCTGGTGTCATTTTGTACCCCCCAGGGTTGTACTCTTTCCTTTTTAGAATACTTCTAGTACGAAGATCTCTTTGAAACTTTCAGTATTTCTATTTAAAAAATACTTTTGGGGTCATTTTGTACCCCCGGGGTTGTATTCTTTACATTTTAGAATACTTCTAGAACGAAGATCTCTTTAAAACTTTCAGTATAAAAAAAAAAATCATTTTGATAGACTGCGATGCAAAGCGTACGGATGAGATTAATGAGTAAATTTCCACTTTTGAAAGTGGTGGCACAGAATTCCCCACGTCGTATGGATACGACAGTAAAACACGACGTACGGATAGGGTTAAGTCCATAATAATCAATTTGATATTTTAAAAAAAGATCGACACATCAACCGTAAGTGGATTCTTAAAGTCTTTGCAGTGGTGAACAAAAAGACCCACATTGCGTCACAAATCCGTTGTAAGAATATCCCCACACATGTAAGAATCATTCAAAGGTGCATAGCTATCACCGTCACAGTTCTTGGCGTCCGTAGCTTTGCCGTCTTCGGCACTCTCCTGGAACTTCACGTTGGCACAGTACGCCTTCCCAGAAGAATTCGTCGACGCAACGTCGGTTTCGTCACTGGTAAAAGACACATTCAGAACGCGCGCCTTTTTATTCCGAGCGTTTCGCGAGTCTTTATTTCTAAGGCTGGATTTGAAGGACACTTCGTTATTATTACTGGACAGGGGTACGTCCGATTTAGGGTTTGTTAAGCAGGTTCCGTCGCAGTGGTTGAATTTCGAGAGCTTTTCCTCGTCACACGTCTCCACAAACGTGTTTTCTTTTCTGTTCAGAGCGCACGATTCCTCGGAGGTTTTACTCAGAGACAGTTTTGTTTCAGAATCGCTTTGCAAAGGAATGTGGACAGAGGAAGCGTCGATATTTGTATCTGTCGTTTCGTGCGATGTGTTGAGTTTATCCGAATGTGTTTCGTCGTCATCGTCGTTGTCCTCTGTGTATTTGGCGACACTCTCAAAGTGAACATTTCGCTCTCTGGTGGCGGGACTCACGTCTTCGTTCGCCGGGATGTACTCTATTGGCGTCATTCTCATACTGCCCGACTTAGCCGCCTGTCGAGACTTGGCTCTGTTGGACTTGATGCTGTTCCGAGATTTCTTCAGGCCTCCGGAGGAGCCTCTGCAAAGGCGGTTGCCCCTCCCGCTGAAGTCACGTGTCTCCTCCTCGGACGATACGGAGGACATGACGTGGCGCCTCTGACTGCCAGCCCGTGTGACCCGTGGCGCGGAGGAGTCTCGCGTGGTGTCCAAGGTGCACGAGCCGTGGCGCGTGTGCTCCGAGTCTACTGACCCCCTGACGTGGCCCACACCTGGAAGACTTCTGTGCGCCTGGCCGTTGGCGTGGTTTCCGGTGGGGGACGGGTCGGATACGATAGTCGGGGGCGTGTCTTGTCTCCGCGGAGAACTGTTGGCGGAAGTGACGTTACTCTTGGCTTCGGAGAGTCTCCGGTACGTGGATTCATCCAGCTCGGTTATCCAGCCGCTCTGCCTGTAATGCGGGCAGCAAATCCGGGCGAAGCTTTTACGAAACACTTGATTGAAAGCGCAGTAGATGAGGAAGTTGATAGCGGCGTTGATGGCGAGCAGAGAGTCCGTGATCTCTCTGATGCCCTTGGTGAGGTAGCCCGCCTCGTGGTAACCCTCCCCGAAGACGGTAGAGAGAATGGCGTCTGGCGTAATGCACACGAGGAAAGCGAGGATCACGACGATCATCATCACAGTAACTCGATGACGCGAGTTGCGGCGCCGGTTCGCACGAGTGCGTCTTAGTGCGGAAATGATGCACTTGTTGAGAACGATCAACACTAAGAGGGGTATGATGGACCGCATCAGATTCTGCGCCCAGATGTAGGAAGTAACGAAGGACTTATTCCTCCAGAGCTCCGTAAGCTCCACATCCAGACGTGACACGTTCGTCTCTCTATCCACACAACGAATCGTGCGATATCTCAACGCCGAGGGTAACGCCAATAACGTCATTATGACGTAAATGCACGTGCACAGGAGCACGGCACACTTCCTGCTCCACAGCTCTCTCGCTCTCGTCGGGTGACATACGAGGATATACCTCTCCACCGCCACCGATACCGTGAGCCACGACGACACGCACGCCGATAAATTGAACACGAAGTGAGCGTAAGGGTAGAGGTACCCGTAGCTGAGGTTCCCTAGCGTGGGGGATGTGCGCATGAAGACGATGACGAAGAAGTAGAGGATGTCGTTGAGGAGTTTGATGGAGTCAGCCACGGCCAGGGCACTGAGGAAGGCGTTGGTGGACGTGTGCATGTTGCGGCGAGACAGGACGAAGATGGTGAGCGCGTTGCCGAGAACTCCCGGAAAACACACGGTCGGGTAGATGAATAGGCCGGTCACGATCTGGCGGGAAGGGAAGGGAGGGGGGAGGGGGGCAAAAAAGTGATTCAGTTGTATTATTTGATATCGATAAAAGTACATGTGTAATTTTCCTGTGTAAATTGTCTTCTTGGGCAAAAATAGATTGCAGTCCTCGTAAAAGTACACAAACATACACACACACACACACACACACACACACACACACACACACACACACACACATATATACAGACACACGAAGACACACATAGTCATACAAATACACATGAACATGTACACACAAACACTTACACACAAACACACACGCAAATGCACATAGACACATACGCACATACATAATTATAGGGCCATTTAAGTAAGCTTACTCCTGCATCTTGGCGGACACTTGAAGACAGTATACTACCAAGGTATTTGAAGCGTCCAACATTGTTAAGAGTCATATAATTTATTTTGAATTCAGGAGGTAGAGTGTGCGTATTATCATGAGCAGGCTGGAAGAGAGCATCAGCTGTCTTTCCTGTCTTTATTGTGAGTCCAGACTTCACACATGCTTTTGGAAAAAATAATAATATGTGAGACAGCGTGGTGGAATCAGGCTCTCGTCATTTTTTGGGCATGTGGAGTCATTGGTATCATCTTAAAGCTTGTTTATTTGTCTTGCTTTGGGTGACAAAAATATCCATTTATCTTGAATACAAGTCGAGATATTTGTGAAAGAAGGAGATGGGCGTCGCTTGATGTCAGAGGTAAAATTAGTGAGAAAATGTGTGCCTGTAATCAACGTTTTTTCCAGAAAAATCCACCCAGAAACGAGTTCTTTAATGGGATGAAAGGTGTTGAGCCAAAAAACCCAAAAAACTGGATAAAAATTCACAAACCTGTTGGAAAAATGCAAGTTTCTTCACTTTGATTATTTTTTCGAGAGCCTGATTCCACCACGCTGCCGCACATATGTCAGCCGAGTTATGTGTGCTGGGTTCTTTATGAGCAGGCAAACATTACACATTTTGAAATAGCAGGATTTTTCTTTTCATTTTAATAAAAGTTTTACGGCACTTGTAACTGAATAAGGTCATATAAGTGCCGAGTATTAGATCTTTGTTTGTTTGAGTAAAGAGAAGCACATAGACACAATAATGGTCAGTTAGTGCTGGTAAAAAGTAAGACAGACAGACTGGAACAACAGAGGGGTAAGTAAATAAGTTGGACCTACAAGTGGCGTCCTCCAACCACCCACACCGAGGATTAGAGGTGTTGCAAGAAAACAACAAACACAATCATAAAAGAGGGAAGTTCATTTTAGTTTAAGTTTAAGTAAGTTTTACGGCACTTACAACACAATATGGTCATAAAAGTGCCAGAGATTAGAGGAGCTACAATAGAGCAACAAACACAAAAAAGTAAAGAGGGAAGATACAGACAATACACGTATTATAGGAAAGAAGAAGCTAACCACACCAGAGCACCCTCCAACCACCCACAAACAGCAGTTCACGATTATGCATCATCCTGAGAGACAATAAATGATACCAATATTTAGGGGGAAAAGGTGGAGCGTTTAGTGCGCTCGAGTCCGGAGCAGAAAGTCCGGGTTCGAGCCTCGGTTCGGACACGAATTTTGCTTTGCCCCCTCCTGCCACCCAGCTATGATGGGTACCTGACTTCGAGTGGAAAAATAAACTCAATCAATGGCTCTGACGCGGCACCCAAACTTGAAGCCCCATTATACACACCTCTGCTAGCTTCCGCCCTCACGTGGATCCTCGTACCTCTCCGTCTGCATGTGGTTCGTTGTCTTGATTTTTTTGCTCTAGTCTCGATGGACCGGGGGGGGGGGGGGGGGGGGGGGGAGGCCGAAAAGGGAAAATATGGCGAGAAAGGGGAAGTAAGTCTTGCATACGGAAAGTCAGACAGAACGGCGTGAAGAACTCATCTGTCCTCAGAAACACACGCATTAGCGGCCCTTCCTAAGTGATATTGACGACGAAACAACGCGAGATAGATGCACAAAGACCCGAGATTTCTCAGCGACGTGTAAGAATTCCCCACGGCAAAGTCGTAATCAAATCCTGCTCGCTCGGCTGGCTTGTCTCCATTGTGGGTACACTTGTCGTACTGGTTTGTTTTGTTTGTTTGTTTGAGTAGAGTAGAGAGAGGCACATGGACAAAAAAATGATCATTCAGTGCTGGGGAACACGTCTTTCACGGCATTCGCAACACAATAAGGTCATATAAATGCAGAATATTAGAAGTGTTACAAGAGAGTAACAAACACAAAAAAGAAGGAGGGGAGATAAAGACGATAGATGTATTGATAGGAAAGAAGAAGCAAACCACACCAGAGCACCCGCCAACAACCCGCGAAGACTTGAAATAGACAGAGAGGAGCAACAGAGGAAAAGTAAAGATATAGGACCTACTTCAAGCCACCTATATACTTATACTTGTACAAATACTTGTATGGGATAGAGCACAATATATATGCAATCAGTTGTAGGTATGCCATACAAGTATATTATGATTAAGAGTACGACTATGATTATTATGATTATGAATATATTATTATCATAATCATTATTATCTATTATCATTAACATCAATCTTTCTTCTTCTACTTCTTCTTCTTCTTCTTCTTCTTCTTTTTCTTCTTCTTCTTCTTCTTCTTCTTCTACTTCTTCTTCTTCTTCTTCTTCTTCTTCTTCTTCTTCTTCTTCTTCTTCTTCTTTTTCTTCTTTTTACTGTCATTATTGTTATCATTTTATTATAATCATTGTCATGAGACGGGGATAAATCGGACAGTGGCCTTACATAATGTGTACGTGTGTGAGTTTCGCGTCAGTGTGTTCTGCAGAAATGCCCTAGGTCAAAACATTCAACGTGTCACGTTCATATTATTTTCTATTTTTTAAAAACAAAATGGTGTTTTGACCAATTAGGCCTCCCTAGCAAAAAAACAAAAAAACAAAAACTTGCGGAGACAGGAGAAAGAAAATACTATTATGTTTGACAACATTTTTTGTTTCGTTCGAGTAAGAGTTTTACGGCAGTTGCAACACATTAAGGTCACGTAAATGAGGAAGGAAGATTAGAGGTGTTACAAGATGGAGACTAAGCAAATATAGGGCAACAAACCTACACATTTTTAGATAGATCTAGTGAAATGTAATAAATTAATTAGAAACAGAGCTCCAATATTTTTTTAGGAGTTGAAAATGTCTGTTGACATAAACATACAACAAACATTCATTTTAAGATTGAAGTAGTGAAAAAATATAAATTAAAAACAGAGCTCATTTGTCAAAGAGTTGAAAATGTCTATGGATATAATTAAACACACGAGAAAAACGAACCGAAATTGGGACTCGAATTACGTTGGATCAGATCAGGTGCGAAATCATAGAACGATTTAATCACTGAAATGGTTAATTAAATACGCAGTTGTATAACTTTGGTGCCATAAAATTATCCAATCAATTGCCGCTTGTTTCATTAACAGACTGCGAATGAATTCGCCCTAAATAATTATCGTTTCCGTCTCCTTCCTGACAATTTATATGTTGCCTTAATTTTGCTTTTCACACTTAATTATGCATAGAATGTTTACAAGGTTCAAAATCTTTTGATCCCCTTCGTTTTTGCGAGTTGGGTTCGTGCGTGTGTGTGGGAGGGG